GGCGGGCTGCCCAGCCCACACCCGGAGCCCACGCCGGTCAGTCACCCGGCCGATGGAGCAACCCCGACACGACATTGAGCGGAGATAGCTCAGTGCATCACGTAGATCCGGTTGATAGTATTGGAGGAGTACGGGGGAGATCTCTTACTCACTCCCCCTCCTTTCATACCCTGGTCACGCCTCTGCTGGCGCAAGGAACCAGCCCCCCCCCCCCCCCGGCTCGTGAGACCAGCTCAGCAGCATGGTCAGACTGTCCATGGCCGACCAGGTACCACTTGTCAGATTCAAATCTCGGGCAGAATTCTCAGAATTCCGGACTTCTGAGAATCGGGAGACGCATCGTTTGCGACCAAATCGCCATCATAGATGGCCCGGCCTTATTCAAATCTCTTCGAAAACACAAGCCCAGCGATTTTCACCATATATTTCGAAACAAATATACATCCAGCACTGCAGAAACACAACGGCCACACCGTAAAAAAGAACAACAGATCGGGAAAGCCGCAGACCGGTTCCAGCCTTGTCCGGGCCAGCGTTGTCAAGCGAGCTAGCTACGCAGTTCTCTATCCTAGTACCTACCCTTTCAGAGTATTGTAGGGGACACTGTTCTCACGCTGAACCCGTCCTTGACTTCGCACATTGCCACAACGTTTACAAAGTTACGGGCGGCCCGGGCACGGCGCTGGTCCCAGGCCCTGCTGGCTGCCGGCGGACTAACCACCAGTGCCGGCCTTTGAACCGGGGAGTGCCACAGCCACACCACACACACCCCTCCCTCCCCGCCCCCGCCCGCACGAGGCAGACAGGGTAGGGGTGGGTAGATAACGAAATAAGACGGCGAGGGAAATCTCGAAACGTTCAAATAGGCGATAAGCACCCCACAAAATAAACATGGCACAGCAAAACGACTCTCATTGAAGCCAGGAACCCAGAAAAAAAAACTCAAAGGACAAACAGCCAGAAATGCAGGAAGAAATCTTGGATGAATCTGAGGATAGTCAAAACGGACAGAAAGCTATATCGTGCAATCTAAATGAAACAGTAAAACGTCATCAACGCAGTGTCGCACCAAAACGCTCGCATTTGCCAAAGCTCCGTCATAAATCAAAAGAGATAACCTCGAAAGACGATAAATTTATCAGCACTACAGCAACATCTTCCCATGCAATCTATCTAACCCTTAATACCAAATCACGAAGTCTGGACTCCTAGAAATATTTCAGCCAATTACGTAAAGCACAAAATGCACAAAGTCCATTATAATCTACTTCTCAATCACTAGCACAGTCTGGTACGCGCCGCACTGCACGGTGGTGCCGACCACGCGGCCGGTTCCGGGACCTCCATCTTGGTGACGTGTCGGCCGGCCGGCGGGCGCCGCTCCTCGTCCTGGTGACCTCCAGATGTCTTCTAGCCGGTCCGCCGCCGCCGCCGAGAGCACAACCCTCCATTGTTGAGTATAGATCTAGTCATGTATCTAAGAACACCACGCACTAAACCTATACCCACAACGGCTGGCTGCGGGGCAGAGCGGGGCACGGCACCACACCTCAGAGTTGCGCGCGCGGCACCGGTCAGAGCAAGACAGAGGCCGGTTTCGGTCCACGACCTCCGCAGTCAACCGTCCGCCGCGGGGAGCACCGCCTGAGTGGATGATGGCCTTGGGACTGGCCACTACCCCTGCCTCGTACACTCGCTGACAAGGCGCCTGACGGCCCCGGGGCCGGTCGGTCGGCCGTCACTTTGCAGACGGCAAAATCAATGTCGCACTGATACAAAATCGATACATGTCCAAGTTGCAAATGTCACTCAAAAATCGGGTCGCCAGCGCGCTTCAGCGGCGAAAAATTGGGGAAAATGGACGGAATTTGTGTCAGAGAGTGTACCGGCTGCCGATTACCGCCGGCCGGCACCAGACGCCGGCGCCTGGGGCTACCCGCCCAGAACCGGGTGAGTCACTGCCATCTGGCGGGGAGGCGGGGAACTGACGGTACCGTACTGCGACGCCAGTGCCCCGTGGCGCTGGAATAAAGGCGGAAAAACGTGCGGGACACGCAGGTTATCTGCCGCGATGCTGATCAATTAGCCCGGCCGCAGCCCGCGTCTCGCACCTATGGAGACCAATCAGACTAACGCCAAAACCTCGCCAGCTTCGGATGAATAAAACTAGTAAGATTTTTTAAAAAATCAGACCAACAACGAAATCATTAGTGACGTCTTCAAAGCCAGGTCGCCACTCACCACAAAATAATGAAACCGCAGTTGTAGTCCGATAGTTGTAGTTACCTATTTCCCATTCGACTTCGGTGCTAAAAGTTCAAATGATTGTCATGGCTAGCCTGCAGTCCATCCGTGATATACCCCAGCACAGAAGGGCTCGTGTACCTACCTAAATCAAAAAGTGAAAGCAGCATTTCGAAATTGAGCAAGATTCGTATTCGCATAAGAGTTATCACATTTGCCCGACCCGAGGTTTAATTGGTGTAACGTTGGAAAACCGATGGAATGCGGGGGTCTGAGTCACTCCGGCGCTCGATGGACGGGACTCCTGTCGGGAATCGTCCACGGCTACCCATGGTTTACATAGACGGCGGAACGGGGAGGGCATCGGGGCACCGTGCCCCCCTTTGATTCGGGCATTTTAACATTTGTCCTATGGGCGTTGCATGGAAAGAATGGGACCAAATGTCGGCAGTGCCCCCCTTTAACTGAAGGTGTTCCGCCGCTACTGGTTTAACCCGCGCCCCGTAGGGGGGGGGGGGCCGAAACGGCCCCCCCCCCTGTCCTTTTCGGTCGATATCTCCTAAACGGCTGGAGATATCGCCACCAAACTTTCAGGACCCCTCCGGGCATCAATTTTACACATTGTGACCAAAATTTTTTCCAGAGGCTGTGATAGGTTGGCCACAAATGACGTCAGAGTGACGTCATGTTCTGTCATTTTCGACCGAAAAAAGACCTTCGCGAGAAGACCTGTCAGGCCTACAGCTTTGAAGATACAGAAAAATGATCAAGACATAAAAGGTGTAGAATTGACAGGGCTACAAAACTGCTATCTCGGATTTTTGAAATTTTTGAGTTTTGATCCCCAAAAATCAAAAAAGCATTTTTTTGGATATATTAGCAAAAAAATCCAAAAAGTTTTTTGAGTTTCGAAAAAAACGGAATATATGTGATAGTACCTACCGTCTTCTATCTACATACCAAATTTCAGATCGATACCTCGTTTTTTGGCCAAGTTATAGCGAAAAAACTGTTCAAAAATGATGACGTCAAATTTTCAAACTCAATTTTTGGCAATTCTAGAACTCGTAGAGCAAAACAAAGACCACCATTAGACTCCCCGTGACGAGCTGCATCGAATGGATACCCATTTTATGCAAAAATATCAACTTTGAAATTTGACCTAATTTGACCTGACCTTGACCTGACCTTCACCAAAACGTGACCTAGGCTGGCCCCAAGGGCTGCCTAACCCACATAATCGCATTTGTCATGTAAAATGGACCATAAAACATGTATCACACGACACATTCATATTGTGACCCCCGGTGACCTGACCTCGCTGTGACCTGACCTGGTATCAGTGACCTCAGATAGCAAAGTATGTGTTTGACGAACAATATACCATCGATGGTTTTCAATAAATTACCAATTTACTCGATTTCACAGCACATTTCTTGAATTGCCTGTGAACGGTGAAAATCTGACCTTTGACCTGACCTGTGACGTCATCAGTTTGACCTAGGTCAATGAAATTTGGTCACAAGGTAGTTCCCGGGTAGGGCTATCAAACGCCGTTTGAATTTTGAAAATCGGCCGGTAACTTTCCGAGATCTTAGGGGGGGGCCGAAACGCCCCCCCCCCCCCCTACGGGTGGTAGGGTCCGCCGGTAGCCCTACGGGGCGCGGGTTAAGCTCAGGCTACACTATCAACGTTTTTTCGGTTTCTGCAGGATTTCGGTTTCCGCGTTTTTACGGTTTCTGCGTTTTTTCGTTCCGGGCGGCCGCCGCGTGGACGGTGTTGTTTATGGCATAGTGATGGATATGTGATAAAATTAATTAATTATTCATGTTAAAAATAATCGAGTTTTTATCAAATTATGATTAGATAATTATTTTAAAGATTTTACAACTAACAAGAATATATTTTCGATCATAATCATTTGTCAGTTTAATTACAATGATCATATTTGATGTAGAATGATGAGTTTTGAAACACATTTTGTCTTATTTAATCATGAATTACACCATTTTCATTATTTACATTTGAAACTGTTCCATCGTCACAATATTATTAGCAACAATCACTTCTAATCATCCATCACTAAAACGAAATCCCGCAGAAACCGAAAAAAAGTTCACAGCTCTGAACTTTTTTTTCGGTTCCGACTCGTCGGTTTTTGCGGGTTTTCGTTCCACGGGACGCCAGACTGGCAGTGTAGCTTGCGCAATGCATTCGCTATGAGGCGAACTTGACGACGCGAACCGAAATCCCGCAGAAACCGAAAAAACGTCGGAATTCATGCTAGTGTAGCTTAGGCTTTACGAATGCTAACGCACTGCAGGCGGATCAGGTAGTGATGCGGAACGTGTTCGGCTGTACGTGTAAGTTTATCATCCAGGGTCCCGAGAGCCCATAAAATTCCGATCGGATGATGGCATTCATTGAATGCGCCACCACTGCTTGGCGTGGGCCCCGCTTCGTCACTCATTCCATTCAAAACATTATATCACAATGTCATAAAACAGCATGCTCAATTGATGGCAAATACGAAAATTAATTTCTATGAAAACCTTCCAATGGACGAAACACGAAGAATCAAAATGCGAAGACGAGTGCTCTTTCACTCGGAAGTTTGGCGCCTTTTGGGGTTCGTCCAAAACACGAACAAGGGAGCATTCCATGCAACGAAGCAGCATAAAAACACTACCGTGAGCCTAGTTTCCATCTTTTACAATGGGATTATGAAGGGAAGAGCAGCCCGCTGTGTTACGTACCTGTCCGGTGAGAGGTGAGGATCCGGCTGACAGGTCACTCCGGGGTCTGAGTCCGCCACGTCAAGGAAATGACGTCATAATAAAAAAACAGCACCACACAGAACGCATGAACTTGGTGCTGGGTGATGAGACAGCATATGTCCGTGAACCGACATTGATAGACATGAGAGACACTCTGGATTTGGTAAAATGAAGAACATACGACTACTAATGCAAAAATTGATGAAAACATGCATAATTATTCAAAACGATTGTAAGTACTAGCCAATAGCCATGCACTATGCAAATAACTTATCGACTTTCGCCTGTGTGTGCGGCGTTTTACAGCGTCTAACCTGTAGGGTGAGGTGAGGGGTCGGTTGGACCCCCGTTCGGCACCTGATCGAGCTAGAGCTTCGCAGAAAAACGAGCGTGTTGCCCGTGACGAAAGGAAGCCGATGGTACCCAATTTAAAGGTCCTAGGTCATTGATTGACCCTCTAAGTCAGGTCAATGACCCAAAAGTCGGGAAAATCGGGACCTACTAGAACTTCGTAAAAAGAAGCTGGTATAGGGTTTTCGGGGTGCTGATCACGAATTTCATGTCAATTTGATCACAGATGATGTCTGAATGCATTAGACCAGGTCGGGTCGGGTCAGGTCAGGTCAATAAGTAGGCGTCCTACCGGCTATCCATAGTAGGCGTCAACCACCACTGACGGCGTTGTAGCATGTTACTAAGGCACTTAAACCACTTCGTAAATCCGAATCGCGATTCCGACCAACCACTGTCTCGAGAAATAGGTCACAAGTACAACTTACAGGTCAAAGGTCATTTCGGGCAATGTCACGAAAGTTGCAGAGTAGATGTAAAAAAAATTGATCAGTTCGAGGGTACTGAAAGTTTCGTCGCGATCGGCCGCTTTTAGCGCGAGTTATTTGCGAAAAATCGAGAAAGGCCATCCGACCCCCGAGTCCCCCCCCCCTCTAAAAGAAGTGGGTTAAAAAAGATGTCCCAAAAATATGCAATGGTCAGATGACTTTTTGTAACCGCTGACTTCTGAATGAATAAGTCAAGACAGCACTAATCACTATGCAGTTAGCAAAAAAGTCTGCCCCATAACTCATCAGTTAGTAGAGTGTTGGACTCCCGGAAGTGAGAGCCCAAATTCCAGTCACTCTGGCACGATCAATATATGAGAAACCTATGGGGATGGTCTCCAGTTGGTGAGAACAGCCGCAGCCAGGTGAAGTCGGTTATGGGACAGCCATGTCCAGCCTTGATGGGCACGCTGAGCGTCTTAATTTGGGCATCTCAATCCCCAGCTACCGGGAATGACCATTCAGGCAGTAGGGGATGCTGCAACAAGCTCGGCTCAGCATGGCCTTGTTCTCATCCATTCAAAATAATTCAGAAAAACTTATCAACAAAAAGCTATAAAGAAACCAGTTAGTCAATGAAATTAAACATTTTTCAAGCTCCTACATTGGATATGACATTATGGGGTGGAAACTTTGAGGATCCAGTTCAAACAAGAACAAAAAATCACAAAAGCACATGATGCAACATGATCATGACATCCGTGAGGTTACATTCAGACTTCCTCTAGCTCATCTGGCAAAAAACACCCAATCAGAAAAAGGATACGCTTGATCAATGGTGTCTTTGGTGTAGATCTTGATCCTCGAGTTGTTTGTTGATGACGACTCAGATGGCCGTTTTCCACTGAGTTTCGCCCTGACCATCAATTCGAGGTTGGATTCTGTCACTGGAGGCCTCTTGTTCTCTGATGAGTAGGCCACCCATCCATAGACCAGGTCTTCGGCAGTTAAGTGATACTCTGAGCACAATGATACACCTGAAATACAGCAATGGTGCTAGCTGGTGACTCACAAGACTTCCTGACGATAAAACCACTTAAAAATATGGCGGCAATTTAAGTTGTTCAAAACACCAGCAGTTTTGGCACTTCAGGTTACTCCTTGGTCATTGGTCATGGTCATTGGTCAGTACACTCCAATGGGAGCTACTGCTTTCAAAATGATGGTGACCATTCAACCTGGAGCAGCAGCACAATGTCCTGTTGGTTTAGTTGTAATAGGCATGCCTGAAGATGGAAGATGTCAGATCGGAAGCATCATTTATCATAACTTGTTTCAGTAGATACAATGTTTTGGCTGCAGTTATTACGAGCGAGCGAGCGTGGCGAGCGAAGCGAAGTCTTTTCAATATAACGGGAAAATCTCAGTATGAGCGGCCCGGCCTGTAACGCTTTTGAGAGGCTTATGTCTCAGCAACTGCTGGACCGATTGGCCTGCGGTCTTTTTTGCTGGGTAGCCCCATCCCTTCTACCCAGTAATTGGCTACTTTTGATACATCTCAGTGACCGTCGTGGCACGTGCCACGTGAAAAATCAAGGGTGTTCAAGCTGTTTTGCAAAAGTAGTGATTTTGAGAGGCTCATATCTCAGCAGCCGCTTGGGTGATTGTCTTGTGGTACTTTTTGTAGGGTAGCTGCATCCCTTCTACCAAAAGTCGGATACTCTTGATCTATGTGAGTGACCCCTACAGGGACCGCGGATTCAAATTCTCGTAGGGTGTGCAAGATGTGGCGACTGGGCCCCCCACCTCACGCCGGGCCCCTTCCAAAAAGTCAGCGCCGCCACTGCTCCGGAATAAGCCGGTTCTAAGGAAGCGGGGCGGGAAAACCTTCAAAATTGACGGTCGTAAGATGACTGAGCGAGCATCTTACGGTCAGGAGATGCATGAGCAGAGTAAATGCACATGCATGCATGCAACGTGATCCAAATCGATCTCCGATTTTACCAAGCAGGCCCCTAAAGGCTTACAGTGACCTTCAAGGGCCCCTACGGGCCTCAGAGAGACCTTTTGCACAGTTGATGTTGGCACACTTCTTTTTATCATGGATTACATGAATTAGTTTAAAAATAAAACACGGCCGGCGGGATGTTTGGGCCCATCGATTTGGCCCCTATGACCTATGGGGGTCTGGCCTCCGGCCCCCTTTAGCTTCCCCATTGCTCTACGGTCCACACGCTGGCTTTGGGGCTCCATAAAGGCCGCACGCCAGCTCCTGAGACCCAACGCCGGCAATTCTAAGGGTCACCGGCGCACCGCACACGGTCTTTGAAGGTCCCATAACGGCCTCTGGAATACCTCATGTACATAGAACTAGATGCCGGCAGCGCTCTTGCGTTGCCTTGGGCCAGAATTGGAGGAACGGTGCTGAGGGCACACACCGGGCAAAACCACCGAAACCCAGACTGAGCTTGGACTGAACCAGGAACCTGAAACCAACCGAAACATCCCAAAAATGCTTGAAAGCACGCGAGATTGGTGTGGATATCTACCTACAGTAAGATATGAATTAACTGCACGTGCATAGTTCATGCCCCAGGCACCCCAGTGCAGTCATTTTCATGACATCATGTAGCGTGTGTCTAGTTCTATCAGTGTACCGACTTTTGTGTCGCTAGATCGACGTTTCCCGGGATCAGAGGATCCCTCGTCAAAACCGTTATCCGCCCCCCGCACGCGCAGCTTGCACCCCTCGGATATTATCTCGCCGGAATGTCGTGATCAAATGTATTCTTCTTATGACCTGCAAGTTTTGAACCAGTTAGAGCTGCCGTTTACCCTGCAGGCGTGGCAACGTACGAAGGGGTGCAATCGGCTTGCACGTGCATAGCTCATGCACCACAGAGTTTAGCTCAACCAAATGTGCATTATTTTGGAGGCCTTGCCTGGGACTACCATTGAACCGATTTTGAGGTTGATAGCTTAAAATTTCTTTGAGCCAGAGGACCTCACTTCAAAACGGTTTTCCGCCCCCAGCACGTGCAGCCTGCACCCCTAGCAGACGGTGACCCCACTGGAAACTGGTTCAAGGTGTTAACGATGTGTCCCGCCAGTATGGCTTTGCCCGTGACCTCTGGTTGACCTGTAGCCTTGACAAAAAATTTCGTGTCACCAAAACTTTGAAGCGGAATAGCATGTGCCACGAAGCACCGAGCGAACCGAGGCCAGCACCAAAAGTTTACCTCGCCGGAGACGAATCAAACGGTCCCACTTTCGTCCCGATCGGTCCACCCATTTTGACTCCAGGTCCAAAAAAGCTTGGACAAACTCACATACTCACTCACTGACAAACAGGTTCAGGATCTCAGGTATCTCAGGAATCGGCCTGGGGCCTTCAAGAGCCAGTTAGGGCCCTCGGAAAGTGGCATTATACCCTGAGATAGCTGTGTAAGGCCCTCGGGTAACGGCTTGGAGCCCTCGGGCATCGGCCTGCGCCCCGGGCTTTGGCCAGAGGTCCTTGGATATCGGTCTAGGGCCCCTCAAGAGCCGGTGAGGGCCTTCAGAAACTGGGGTGGGGCCCTGAGATAACTGTGGGGGCTTGCAGGTGCTGATGCGGGACCCTTAGGCATCGGCCCCAAGAGGAGGTTAAGGAGGGCAGGGGGCAGGGGCCCTCAAGAGCCGGTTAGGGCCCTCAGAAACTGGCGTGGATCCCTGAGCTAGCCATGTAGGTACTCAGACACCGGCGTGGGACCTTTAGACATCGACTTGGGGCCCTCGGGCATCGGCCTGGGCCCTCAAGAGCCGGTGGGAGCACTAAAAATGGCGTGGGTGGGGTTCTGAGATAACCCCTGAGATAACACTAGAGCCTGTTCACGCCTTCAGGCACCGGTGCGGGACCATCAGGCTCACGCTGGGGCCCTCGAGAATCGGCTTGGGACACTCAAGCGCCAGGGCCGCATGGGCCCCCACAACGAACTGTGGGTGTGCAAAAATAGGTGTTTGCACACCCTCAGGATTTTCAGGGTGTGCAATTGCACACCCTGCCCCCCGGAATCCGCGGTCCCTGGACCCCTACTGCACGTGCAAAATGCAAAAAGAAGAGGTGCCAAATTTGTTCCCATTTCATTAACTCGGTAATTACTGGGGCGATTTCGCTGAAGCTTGGCATACAGGTAGGCACCCACCAGGTAATGCATTCACATGTGTTGCGGTTAGGGTGTTACTGCACATGTGCACGTGCAGGGGGCGCCTCCAGATCTCGAGAACGGCTGGGCCAATTGCGCTCAAATTTGGTACACGGTTGGGGACTGGTTAGCAGGGCGCCATGCAAACGTCAGTTTGGACCCCATTTGCACGTGCAGAATGCCACCTCCAGATCTCAGGAACGGCTGTGCCGATTGCGTTCAAATTTGGCACGCCGCTAGCGACAGGTTAGGATGCTTTGCACAAGCATGTTGGAAGTACCCTCTCACCCTTCCGCACGTGCAGGGCTCACTATCTCGCTCGCTCGTTCTTTTTTTGTATTGTATTTATACTAGACTCTCCACAGGTGGCTATTACAAGCCCAGTTAACATGGCGATGCATTGACAGCACATCTTCGCCCAAAAGGCGTTTTACTGGTGTAATATCCAAAGCAAAAAAAAAATGTAAAAGAGTCGCATCTATATTCTACAGGCAAGTCAAAGTGAGGTACCCACAATATTTTGATACATCACCCGTCATCGCAGATATTCCGTTTGTTTGTAAGCTTACATTTTGACAGTGTATCTTTCGTGAGGTTGATGCAGAAGTTTCCAAACTCTTCATTTATCTCATCAGCCAGTGGCATTTCTCACAAATTCAATAACACTTTCCTTAAATTAGCAAACAATAAATAAAAATATCGAGCACCAATTCCGCTGGACCGCGTGAAGTTGAAAAACAACGGACACGCCAAGGGACACGCGCTTCTTCTGCAGACTTGGCGCCAAAAAGCATGTTTTGTCTCATATGCCATAACTGTCTACTTCTCGAGAGCATTTCTTATAAAAAGAGTTTGTAAAAAAAATGAGTTTTGATCTCGACTTGGACTTTTGAAAGCATAAACATTATCTTAATCTGCATTTTTTGTTTCCTTTCATATATTTTGATTTATTTTCGCTATTTGCCATTTATATTCAGATCGCTTTTGAGACAATTAGGATCCGCCATTTTGCCTCAAGAAAAGAGACGGTTCTTTACAAAACTTTGTAAAAAGTGACGTAATTTTGACGTCATAATTTCTAACTTGATGCTTCTGATTCGCTATCGAGCTCAGTGAGACGTCAACTACTAGTTTTTAAACATAAGGTTTCATTGAGGTTTCAAAAGATTTCTTGCATGCTAACGTTGGAGTGCGAGTGTTATTGATGAATATTTTTAACGGTTCATAATCATAATGGGTGTGATGCATTTTGCTAAAATATTATTGTAAAAGCTGCATTTTTCTGCTGCTCCTTGTGCCTAAAATTGTTCATGCTTGGTAAGCATTGCCTGTTTGTCATTTTACGATGTTGATGTTGAGTGTTTGTTCTTTTCTTTTGGCATAATTTCAATTTGCGACTGATGTGCTTATTTCTCTTGGGATTTTGGTAGCTGATGAGCTGTGATTTATGTGATGGTAAAAGAGTAGCCGTTGAAGAATTTATGAAAGCTGCCGAATCCGCTAAGGCTACACTAGCTGCATTTTCTATTTTAGCGGGATTTCGGTCTGCGTATGTTTGCTTCGGGCAACCTTTGGGCGTTGCATAGAGCATTTTTGTTTAAAGCATAGTGATGGTGATATAATCAATTTATGAAAGTATTTTGTTATGCATAAGAGAGTTTTGTGAGGCTATTGACAAATGAGGTTTTGAAATTTCCGCATATAAACATGATAATATTAATGATCTTTAATGTACTTCAAGTTTATAACAATCATTACATTCTTTTAGAATGTCCAGGACTCCAGGGGCTTGGAGCCAAGCCAGCTGGCAAAGCTCAGTAATTTCAGAGATCTTGTTGATATGGTGCTTTGCGGTGTGGTGGAGATTAACTGGTCTGGTGCACTGCATAAATTCAATTGGCTCTGAGCTGTTATGACCCTTAGTGGCATTGTGCAGGACAGACATTGAAAATTATACACGAACACAGGGAGACAATGGGTTGGGAAACTTGGGATGGGGAAAATTAACCTTTTATTGTAATTTTGTTTTATCTAAAATCTGGATAATGAGTTATGTAGCAAAATGTTTTATTCTTGTTCAGTGCTGGCTGGTGCAGATTTCCCAGCCAAAACTGTTAATGGTTGGTATGTGCTGATGTGGATTTGATACCCTTGTTGGTCTGTCTTTTGGGCATTTTTTATTATGCCTTGCAAGTTGCAGTCTGTTTCATAAAATAAATTGCCTAGTTTCCCATATGGTAATTTGTTTTGGGGTCTGTTAGCTTAGCTCTATAATTGCTCTGCACCATATGGATGAAAAGTACAGATGAACAGTGGTAGGTCTAACTTAGGTCACTGGTGTGTTCAATTCCTATTTCTGCAGGTGGCTAGGGCTGTGTGCCTGGCTAATCATTCCTCTATAGCCATTCATTGTTTCCAGAAATTCATTCTTCTAACTTAACACACTGACATGGGTCTCTGCCATGGTGTTGGGCTTATAGGATGGCACACTGATTGTGCTTGAGCCACATTGTGTGACATATTGTCATTTCATTGTATGCTTTTCTTACTCATCACATCTCCAGCATACTTGACTGGTTAGACATGACCTTACTGTTTTGAGGGTGATTTTACCTTATTATTTAGTCTTTCCATATGTTGGCAAATAATTGAGTTTTGTATTATCTTCATTTTGCAATCCTGCCAGGATTTCAGAGTAATATGCTGAGAAATAATTAACTCTTCATGCAGCCTATCCAGAATAAGCTATAAGAAAGATGGTGTTGGTTTCATGCAATGTTTGAGCATCACCAAAACTGTTAAATTTTGTCACCACATTTGCACATTGTACATCCATGAACATATTCAAATACCTACAGTTACTTTGCATTGCAGCAGTCCAACAAGAAGTGTGCTTTTTCTGACAGAATCCACCTTTTAAGCAATGATGGCTAATGCATAAGTCAGTGTCCCTGCTTGCTGTATTCACACTATTGATGGCCATCTTGGCACAAATTGGTGCTTATATTATCTAGCTAAGTTGACTCATGTGAGTCATGGAGAGCATTGCTAAAATCAGGTCTGCTCTGACTCTGAGTGCTCACTTGTGCAATGTTTCATCCACCCCCTGATAATCCTAAAGGGCACTGAGGCTACCTAAAATCGTGAATAATCATTATTTGTTTTCCTTGCAGAATCATAGTGAGAGCATCTCCATCCTGCCCGCAATGGAGAAGTTCACGTTTTGTCTGCGCGGCGGCCTCGCTAAGCGGCTGGAGCGGCTCTCGACGAGCCACGGGCCGGGCTACCTGGACTACCTGCTGGAGACGCACACCCCGGACGCCGACCTGCCGCCGCCGCCGCCGCCCCGGCCCGTCACCGACTGGGCGCCCAAAATCGGCGTCGACGACCTCACCAAGAGCATCGAGATCGACGTGGGCTCGCAGGTGGGCGTGGAGTGGACGTGGAGCGCTGATCATCTGATCATCTGTCTGCTTTACCGTCTTCCTTGCCTGGTGTTGATTAAATGGAGCAGGCTGCTTTTCACCGACTTCATTTCAGACTAAGGTGTTTCGAAATTCCCGTTGCTCGTTTTCATTGATAATGATATTAATTAATTTCTTTGGCTTGTTCGTTGAGGTTAGCCTGATCAGCAAAATCCATAGCCCATTTAAATGAATCTGAAAGTCGGGATGAACCAAGCTGTTCTATCGCCCTGCTATTATCGGCACCGGCACCGGGCGCGTCACAGCAATCCCTTTCCACCGCCCGGCAGGTGATAGTGGTGAACCTGTCCGACTTTTACAAGCCGCGTGACGCGGCACAGCTGTTCGGCACGCCCACCGACGATGTGGCCAACGGCGCCGCCAGCGGACTCGACCTGCTCGCCTCCACGGCCAACATGTACCGCAGTCGCGGCGGTGGCGGCGGCAGCGCCGGCAAAAAGTTCGGCGCACCCAGGTGCGTACAGCGAAACGATGCTCTGCTTTAACCTCGAATCTTAATCAGGTTGAGGGAAGATGACATGATAAAATTTCGTGAATGAAGAAGTACCATGGTCGGGTCTGCCCCGCTGACACACATCTCTATGCCCCTCCGTTGCGGCCAGGTTCACGTGCCCGCTGTGCCAGACCAGCTTTATCCGCCGGCGCGACCTCGACAAACACGAGTGTGACGATGACGATCCGGCGGCGGCCGGCGGGCGCAGCGCCGGCGGAGCTGGGGGCGAGCCGCGAGTGCCGCCACTGGTGGTGCGACCGACGAAGGTGGGTGAACACAAGAATACTTTATAGCTGATCGTGGCGGGAGAGGAGCCCTCTGGTATTATATGAAATGGCACTGGTATGTGTTAGTATGGTGTGATATGGTAGGTAGGCAATGTAAGTACATGGTAACGAGAGACTCTCCCGGTGAAGAATAATGAGGTTAATGGTTTGATTTAGCTGAAATTGGATGAGCTGTGAGGTATGGCTGGCAGAAGCAGACTTGGTCGGTTATCTGGTGTATAGTGCTGTTTTGACCACACAAATTTTTTGATGTGCTATTCATGTCATGAACATTCACGATAGGTCCGAAGATTATTATCTATCAGCGCTGTAGCTTCCAGTCTTTTTCAGCGTATCTGACATTTTCTCCGCCCGTGTTTTACCAACAGCAGCAGCAGCCGCGGCGGCTGGAGGACTCGAGCTCTGACGAGGACGGCGCCGCGTCCCGGCCTCCGGCGCCGCCCCGCCGGCTGCTGCCGCCGCCGCAGGCCGCCAAAAAGCGACAGGACGGTCAGTGGTCCATCGACTGTTCGAGCGATATGCGTTTTCATAATTCAACTCTCAGTGCGTCGCAATAGCTTATTGGAACGTACTGAGAGACGTAGTGAGAGACGTATGACGTCTGAAACAGCTTCTCAAATATCAAAGTGAACGTGATGAATCCATAATTGTCTATGATCCATGGTCTGAGACGGTTATAAGTAATCTGTCGTGCTGTAATATGCCGTATCCTATTTCGTCGTGTGTTGTGTGATGTATACCAGGATCCGGGACCTAACCACCCTGATGCATCTTGCAGGCAAGAAGGAGGCGTACGTGTGCCGTGTGTGCCAGTCCAAGTTCCGCGACCCTCAGTCGGTGCTGCACCATCTCAAACAGTTCCACCGCGAGCACGCCATGAAGGCCTGGAGCAAGTTCCAGGTCAGTGTCCGTCCAGTACCTAGCCAGGATATGCCTGAGTGGGTTATGACGGGAGACGGGAAACATTTTGTTGCGAGAGAATGTGCGGTTACTGAGTTGCTAGTTTCGTGCATGGATAAGCTCATGCACTGCAAGGTCAGACGCTGCGACAGATTTATGTTGTCGATCATGATACCAATGATCCATGCCATGATAAACTGCCCCTGCTATGCAGCGAGGGATCATGCCTTCCAAATTCAGACTTTTGTGTAATCTGCTGTTTTGGACAACCGCAATGTCGTTTTATTTTATCGCCAGGTTTCATCAGCTGTCTCCGTCCTAACCAGTCTCGTCTCTCCTCGCCCCCAGGAGAACCTGCGGACGCGGCAGCCGGAGCCGCCGGCCGGCCGGGGTCGCGGCCGCGGCGGCTCCTCGGCGGCCGTCCACGCGGCGCGCACAGCCGACACGTTCGCCGTACGCTCCGTGTCGGGCGCGCCGATGAAGCTGAAGCTGTCGCGCTCTCAGCAGCAGCAGCAGCAGGAGCTGCGGCGGCGCCAGCAGCAGGAGGAGGAGGGCGCCGAGCCGGAGGAGTACGCCGTGCTGCCGTCGGAGATCCCGGCGCTGCGGCCGGGCCAGCGCGACCCCATCTATCACCAGACCCAGTATCGGGTGTACCAGCCGCCCGACCCGATGCCGCTGCCGCGCGCCAGGTCAGTCGGGGATCGGTGACGGCCCACTGGGACGGGGGTGGGTCGAGCTGCGGGCGGGTCAGGATCGGTGTCTGGACAGGATGGGGGACTGAGGGCAGAATATGACACCGCTGGTCTGACCAGTGAGAGACAAGATTACTTAGTAGAGGGAGGGGGGACTGGGGAGGGGTGCTGGAGACAGTCATGTAACCCGGAACTAGTGACTAGACAGTGAATAGGGAGTGTTGAGCACAGGTGACACCGCTGCGGAAAGGGGAGAGCCAAAGGCAGGACCGATCGCTGTGGGTCAGAAAAGGGAAGAGCTTAGGGCAGAACTTGACGCTGCAGCGGCTGTAGTGCTCAGCCAATTCACTATGCTTTCATGAGCTGTCCTGCCAGCCGCTGACTAGATCATGGGTCGAGATCTGTAGTTATATGTGGCAACAACTTGGGTGCTGTACAATCATTGGCCATGTCTCTGTATGTGACATCTGAAAATTGGTTAAGTGTAAATTTGTCGCTCATTCGGTAGATGTCAGATCTGTACAAATTATATCGGATGTAAATTGTTGGTAGGGTTTGTTGCTGAATATAGAGAGCTCGGTCTTTGCGCACTCCTTTACATTCTTATTTGTTTGTTTTCGTTTTTTTGTAAATCAATTGGTCAATAGCGGACATAATTGATCAACGTTCGGACAATAAATTCGGTCGGACATTTTGTTGCGTAAGCGTCAGATGTGTTTGCGTTTGTTTGCCTTGGCACACCTATGTAGTTGATCCTTCGTTTTCGTCTCCGGTAAGTATTCCTTTCCTTACTTGCTATTCCGTACCCCCTGAGTGTTCCTCTCCTATTCAGGCAATTTGAATATTCATACAATGCAGTTAGGTCGTAAAAGACGTAGGTGAAAATTGTTAAAGGGACTATCCCACCTTCTAAAATGTTGTTAAAACCAGTTAAATTGTGCCCGACTTTATAGATTGGATGACCAGGAACACGGTTCTGGCATTTATTTTTCATTAAACATCTTAGGCTTCCCATATTCCAAACACAAACTTTCAAATATGTGACGTCACAGCCCAAAATTACCTCCTTCCCCAGGCCACATTACTGTCATAAAGCTGATTCTTTTTACTCTGTAGGCACCACAACAAAGTTCAGACCAAGTTTTAAGCGATTTTTCAACGAACGAACCCATTTAAATCAGAATGACTAAACAAGGTGACGTCACACTAACGGTCGCTCCATGTTGAAGATAGGGCCTTGTACAAGGCCCATTTTCAAATGAAGGGAACGAATTTCTTCAACACCAAGAGGCCGCGGGGGTTGCAACCTAGATAGATAGTGGTTTCTGAACCTCGCCGCAAACTTGGCTATCTCAACTCAAACCCCATGTTAAAGGTGGGATAGTCCCTTTAAGAACTGTAGGTGCTCGGGCACCGCAAAATCACCGCCCTAGCTCGCCGGCTTCGCTTTGGGGCCAGCCCACAACAGACGGCAGGGGTCAAGGTCAGAGCCAATCCGGCGCTCTGAGACGGCGGATTTGCGGTGCTCAAACATCCACAGTTCCAATACTTGAGGTTCTGAGCTTGCCGAAAGGCGTCGTTCCATATTCAGCGAAAAACGCCTTCTGGCTCAAGCCATAGCCTGCAGCCCTGTACCGTTTACCATGGTTTCAACGTTCATCCGTGAGCTTCTGTTAGCGTCCTAAAGCTGTAATCAACAAACAACTCAAGCCAGTGTTGGACCTACTGTTTATCATCACCTGTGGACTGAAATTTATAGCATCTGTCCCTGGCATTACTCTACAGTCTACTCTGCATACATTATTTTACTTTTTTGTCATTCCCTTTTATTTTTGTTTCACAGTGCAATCACATGCCAACAACATGTCATATATCGTTTTCGCCATGACTTGAATGGGTTATCATGAGCGCGTAATCAAATCTTAATAAGCTGGGGGTCTAAAAATATGCATATTCTACTTGAGCGGCCTCTTACGATGTTCATGTGTTACTGTGTCGGATGTACCGTACAGTCAGTCTTGAAAGTACCGCTCATCGGTACGTTGGATCCATCAAGCCCGACCGAGGAAAGGCTGCTTAATTGGAGAATCACTGAACAAGACTGAATCCTTATCCATCCCCCAGGTCACCTGGCTCGTTACTCTCAAATTAGCAGCCTTTCCTCAGTCGGGCTTGATAAGTCCACCGCACTGATACAGCGGTACTTTCAAGACTGACTGTACAGTATGTACAGAAGAGCGGCCTGTTTTGATTACCGTGTGACTGTGACTCGGGTGCCCGCGCCTGCCGCCAGCAGTCCCCCTCTGGACACGGGCCCACCGCCGGCCAGCACCTCGCCCGGCTACGTGACTTGCGGCGTCTGCGGCGGCACCAAGTACTACACGTACACCGAACAGTGCCGCATGTACGGCTCGTTCGCCTGCGAGGCGTGCCGCAAGTTCGTGGCGCGCCAGCCGCAGACGCAGCCGGTGCAGTGCCAGCTGGGACTGGGCCAGTGCCACATCCCGGTGCTGGTGCCGCGCAACTCGACCGACACGCGCTGCCGCGCCTGCTGGCTCAAAAAGAGCCTGCTGGCGTTCAACATGCCGCAGGAGAAGCACGACCGGTTCCGCGAGTGTCTGCCGCCCAGCATCCGCGACACGGTGCCCACGTTTGCCGTGAAGCCGTACAAGGAGATGGGCGTGTGCGAGAGGGACACGCTCGAGTGAAGGGGCCGACCGCGCCGGCCGCCGTCAGGATGGTGGTGAAACGAAGCAAGAAATGCGATCGACCGAACTGGGTCTGTGTCAGGAGTGTGAACGACCGAACGAAAGTGTTTGGTGGTGTGTCTGTTGACATGGTCATTGAAAGGTAGGGTATCCCGCGTTGCTGGATGCTGGAATATGAGAGACGAGCCAGAGAGGCAGCGCGATGTGGGCCCGAAGGCAACTGTACAAAGATTAGGTTAAGGAGCGTCTTGTGAGGCAGGTGTGTAGTTACCCATGATGGCGCTGCCCGCCGCAGGATGCTGCGACTGCCCGGTATTATCTATGGCGCTGCGCCGATGTGTCGGACGCAGGGTGTCTGGGACGAGGCTCCCCGGCTCTGCTCTGCGTCAGTGAGTCAGCGGGTGCCAGCTGCTGGGAGATAGGAGCTATGTGTTGGTCTTGTATCTCAGTAGGGTCATACTGCTGCGTTGAACGGTAAATTTTTGGTAATGTTGGCATCACCAAACTCGTGTGCACATTGTTGGTTACTTGTGTTTTTGGAAAGGCATTCGTCGTCATGTATATCCATTTTGCTTGCCTTGTTTCTCACGTTTTGATTGCAACTGGTAACATTTGGTCGGCATTTTTACTAGGATGCGTGGGGCACTTGTCTGTCAGCTGTGTGTGCGTATGCATACACACATTGTCAATGAGTAACAGCATGGTTCCGTGCAGCGTGATAGTGCTGGATGAATTTTTTGCTCTCAATAAATAAGCGACCTTGTTCAAAAATTGTCCTTTTGGGAGGGATATTATCCGCACCATTACTTACGTTGATGTCGAATGATATGTACTTAATCTTCTTAGGCTACTTACCTATTTCAGCGACGACCGATCAGTATTGGTTTTGCGTGACGGACGTTTCCATATGAGCAATCGCCACATTAGCATATGGCGTACGATCCTGGATCCGCGCCATGATGCTTCGATTTTGAGCACACGCAACGGGAGGGATTTTCACCGTTTATTTTATACAAATTATCGACGCGTACGAGGAGTTAAGCTTCCGCGCAATTGCGGAACTTGGGTCCAGACATTTCCCGTCAAGACGACAAATATCCACAGTTCCACATACCACAGCGCTCCTGACATTGCGTCTCGCAAGTCACGTCTCTCCTTCCGATGAAGGCTACCAGGGTACTACTGAAGCTGACTTGTTACAGACCAGTGAAATGCGGTCATTAATTAAAATCTCTTCACTTTTCTCACCAGTCTCTGGTCAGTGATGCGGTTTCGTGAAGTGCTATTAGATATTGAGGATGGATATTACGCGATCGCTCTAGACTTCGAAACAGCGCTTACGCCCAGAAGGAACACTTCCGCGTTTACATCCACCATAGTTCCACCTGCTGCATCATCATCATGCCACCTCGCTCTCGCATAGTCTAAGGGCGCGCGCGCCACAGTTACCAACGTATCACAGAAATGGACGTTTCTGCTCAAGTAGGCTTCGTTGCTCCCGAACATCCATCCGTAATACTATTTAGCAAGCATGCATCGGATGCTTTCACCGCATCTACTACGCAGCATCTTACAATGTCGGCACTCATTCAAGCGACCAGACTCCATCGCTCAGAAATTCGAGACAGCATTCAGTCAACGGTTATGGACGTCATAAATAACTTCGGATGACGCATTCAAATGTATATCTTCGCTCTGTCCTCCTACCTACACTGGTCGCGTTCGATCCAACAGCCATATATCGACACCTTTTTTTAAACCCCACATTTGTTCTTCGGTGAATTTCAGACAAGTTGGTTAGAGACCTTCAAAAAAGGTACAATCACTCGATTTTTCTCAAGTTTGTCTGTCTTGGCAGATAAAGCAATACCAGAACAGGCCTACGAACACACATATTTGATCAGGATCGGACGATTGGACACTTTTAAAAGGAGATCTTTCGTGCCTCCCGGAAATTCACGGGAGAGCAGATGTAGGGTTTAAAAAAAAGGTGTCGACTGTCGATATGTACATAATGACAGTAGTTTTTTACGACTGCGGGCTCCACATTTACCAACGCATCACGGTTGCTGAAACCAAAAAGAAAACGACAAGCCTTGGAGTCGCTAAGTTTTTCCTTGTATCATTGTCGAACGATGAGTTCAGTAATATTGGCCTGATGGTTGACCTCGTTGTATTACCCTGTTCTTGGGGATCATATTACGATGACCATTGAACAGGTGTATTCCTCTGATGAGACCCGCTTCTTTCTTTTCATTGAAGGTTCAGGAAGTCTTACTTAGCTACGTAAACGTGATTCAAATGGTCGAACGTAACCAAATAAAGTTGGAGAACTAAGCATCGCGGAGGAGATGCGTAGGAAACTTATCACAAATACAGCTGGTGCTTAGAGGCAGCTAAAAATGAATGACTTTCTATGGAGGTCGGGTATAGTACGTGGAAGACCATAAAATGATGTGCTGCTTTCAAGCACAACGCGAGAAGCCGCCGACAGGCTCAGGCCGTTGAAGTACATAGCAAAGTGAAGGGTGGCTAGGCTGTCTGCTACACCATGATAAAGGACGCCATGATCCCAACCGCGCTGTCGGTCTCTAAAACGACCAGCCTCACCCTCTCCAGGGGTTGAAGCGAGCCTGCTGGGCTTTTGTGGCAAAAGACCGCGTCCCGCCATCACTGCTCTTGGGTCACAAGTCGGGTCTCATTTTCACCCCGCAGTAGCGTCCTATCTGAAAGTCAGCTCCTCTGTGTGTGGCTGAGCCATGGCACCCGTACCGGGGGCGCCACCGTCGACGACCCAGGACGCTCTAGCGGCGCAGTCTGGGGGCGGCCGAGACACGGCCCGCCGGCTTCTTGGCGGCGGCGGAGGCGCGGCCGGTGCCCGGCTTGCTCTTGTTGCTGGAGATGGAGGCGCACTTGGGGATGTGCCGGTCGGCGGCCGCCTCGTTGAAGCGGCGCTCGCAGTGCGGACACTGCACGTAGTCGGAGGTGTCCATCGGCGGCGGCGGCGGCAGGTCCTCCAGCTTGCCGCCGTTGGCCAGGTGCTGCTGCGCCTTCTTGGCCGCGCGGATGTTGCGGATGAACTCCTCGTGCTGCTTGCGCCAGTCCTTCTTGGCCGGCTTCGGAGCCTGGCGATGCGGAAATTGGCGGTCAGTTGGGCACGTATGGGAGGATGGGATTCACAGAAACGCATAAATCTTGGCGGTTATTTTTAGGAAGCTTGCAGTCTTGACTTGAGCTTTAGCAGCTGCATACTCTGTCAAATAGAAACATCCCACATGATGTTATTGGTAGAAGAGGTAGCTAATAATGAACTGATGGCTGCAAAAGGTTCCTATGAATGAGCTTCCGTGCCTAACAGGTATCAGAGAAAGCTACGATTCTCACTGTAAAACCAGCTTAAAATAAACTGGTTACATCAAGCTATACGATTCGAAGGTTCATTGTATTGTCTACAGGCATTGACAGTTGACACCCGGGGGCTAGCGCTGTTTACCTCACCACAGCAGAGGAGATCCTACATCCCCGGCTCCTCTACGTAACCTCACCTCCTTCTCAGGTTTCTTGCTCTTGATCTTGCGCAGGTAGCTCTCGGACTCTGTGCCTTTGACGCGCATCTTGACCGGGTCGAACACCTTGCGCTTCTTCTTGGAGGACTTTTCGCAGATGGTCTGGTGTTTCTCGAGCCGGTCCTTGTTGAACTGGCGCTGGCAGATCGGGCACTGGGCCATGTTGGGGTCCGTCGGCGGCGGACGAGGCGCTGGTGGCTGCAAAGGGGAGGGTTCGTCACTTGGGCGGTAATTGACAGTGCGCTTTTCTCGTGCCATGTGGCGTGTTGGCCAATGTCCATGGGTACTCACTGGATAGTCCAAGACGGGAGTGGGGCTGGTTCAGACAGACCGAATGTCAGTACGGTGCAATTTTGTGACATTGAGCTTGAGGTAAGCGCAGAAGAATGTGATATAAAACGCATCAAAAGGCTTGCCTTTTGATTCTGATCAAATACTGTTTTCAGCTAATCTAGATATTTTAAACCTCTCCCCAAATGCGTACGCTTGAGGCACTTTGTGGCATGATTCGATTACAGTTCATAATTGGAAACAGTTAAGAGGTCGCCCATACCGTGCTGCCTCATCATAAAAAGCCCACGACCTGCTGGGCGGGCCCCTATCGCCTGGGCGTGGCGCGAATGAGGCTGTCTACATGAGGCAATGACTCATACAACCATCCCGTGGTCCATTAACAAATTAATTCATTAAATCTGGGCCCGCGGTAGCACAGTGACGTGCGAAATTAATGAACATCATATTTATCCCGTGCTCTCTATGATTGATGCGTCTCAAACTGTAAACCTTGAGAGCTGTGAGATGTCACCTTCAAAACATGTAATTGATGACGTTCCTTTCATAAATTTCCCGTCAGATCTCTCGGATCGGCGCACCAAATCCGTCGTATTCGGGATGCGCGCTCAAGGCTGCCGCATTTCCTGCGCAATGCCGGTTAACTGTCGGGACTGTGGGTGGGCTAAGTCGCCCGTCACGTCAATGTCATTGTGACTGCACAGATGGCGGCTGACTGCTGCTCCGGTGTGCCCGTCCCTCTGGGGGTACTGCTCGGGGTATCCGTGACCAAACAGGGTGGGTCTGATGATGCAGACAGAGGCCGTCCCATCCCGTCCTCGGTACAGGCCGGTCGCGGTGGACCCCGCCAGTCCCACCGGCCGCAGAGCTGGGCTGCCCGACCCCGCTGTGTTGAGCAACTATCCGCTGTGGGCGGGCTAGTTGCCGGATCGCGTCCTTACAAGGAGCCCACTCTGGGCTGTGGCCGAGCTCTGTTGGTCGCACAAGGCGGACCGTGCAGCCAAGGCTGGCGCTCGCGTGCGGAGGCCGCCGCGGCCCAGGAGAGACAAACAAGCGCTGTTCTTTTTAGCCAGGGCGATGAGAGAGTGAGGATGGGCAATCAAGCACCCCGCAGCGGTCATAGGCAGACTTGTGCCAAGGTCCCAAAAAGGTCCGAGATCCAGGGTTCGCAGCCCAGTAAAAAATACCATTAGAAATTACCAAATGGTTCCAAATGGGAAAAACCATTTGACTTATTGAACACTTTTCCAAATGGTTCCAAAGAGGTTCCATTTGAAATGTGTCCAATTGGCCACCAATTGGTACCAATTGGAACCATTTCATGACCATTTGAAATGTGTCCAATTGGTCACCAATTGGTACCAATCGGACACATTTCAAATGGTTCCAATTGGTACCAATTGGTGGCCAATTGGACAAATTTCAAATGGAACCTCTTTGGAACCATTTGGAAAAGTGTTCAATAAGTCAAATGGTTTTTCCCATTTGGAACTATTTGGTAATTTCTAATGGTATTTTTTTACTGGGCAGCTGGATTACCATTTGAAGATCCTTTTGAAGTCCATGCATTTCATCCACAAAATAACAAACTGCAGCGTGAATTATTTTTATTGTTTTACTCTGCAAGCATATACATTTTCATCAGTACGTACCTACCAACATTAGACATTAACTACACATGGACATTGTTGTTTGGTCAACACCACATCGATGAGGCGATTGCTATCAGAATCAAGAACAGAATTACAATGTAGTTATGCACTGGGCCATACGTACACTATTCCACATAGGCACAATGAACGACGTGATACAATATCATTCCGATCGGTGATACTGTCTGTTGTTCTGACAGATAGATTTCTTAATCTTCCGTGGCGATCAGAATTTTCAGAAGTCAGAACGTAGCTATAATGCGGGCACGCAGCCCATCTGGACCCGTGTAGAGCCGGTAGACGGCATCTGTCCGGTGCAAGTTCGTGCCTGCAACAGTACCTACAGGACAGCACGGGTTAATTGGGCGATGGGATCAAATTAATTACCACACACAATATAATAACTTTAAGCTCATGCAACTTGCATTGTCATTTAGGCAGCCTGACCACAACAAATATGGCACTGACAATGTTCTGCTGGCAAAATAAATTGTGATAACAAATTTTAAGCCTCTTTCTCACCTCTTTTAAACTCAGTTCTTACAAAGATGCCAAATGCAACCAAATTTATTCAAATAACTATTTTCAGTATTTGCAGTCGACTAAAACGAATATCGCATAGGTACAGCTGCACAAGAAAAGTCACTCACCAGCCGCGTGATTCTGCTCAGCTTCCTCTTTTACAGCAGGACTGGGTCCCGGTCGACCGCGGGCAGGCCCAGCCCCAGCGAACGCGAAACTTCGCGAAACCCGCTGGCGCGCCGGCCGGGCGGCCGACGTCGACGCCCGATTTGAACTGTGGCGCCGGCGCGGCCGGCCGGCGCCAACCGGCCCCCGCCGAAGTTAGTTGGTAGCACTGCTGCTCCACGGCGTACATTTCCTACCAGCCCATAGGGTTTACATGTTAAATGGCCTGTTTTCGGCGAGCGATATCTCGGTCAACCTTTGAAGGAATCAATGGTTCTTAGTCTCAAATGATAGATCGATGAATTTTCTTTCGACAATTCCTCTACCATTTTTCACGAAACCCAGCCGATCTTCTACGGCGTACAGGGTAAAGATTTCTCTGCACGCCACCACCCGCGATCCGGCTCTCCGATCGTCGGCGCGCGGTCCTCGGTAGCGCAGTCGGTAGCGTATCGGGCTACGGATCCGAGGGTCGTGAGTTCGAATCCTGGGAGCGCCGCGTGATTTCGGCTAGAATTGAATGATGTAGATTCTTGAATGTTTGCATAATCAATTATTAATAGCTAATTGAATGTATCTGCCCACTAATCTGCCTCTAAAGCCTGTTATTTAAGAAATCTAATAAATGAATGTCACGTGCGCGTCACGACTGCCAACCATAAGCGCTACCATATTCTAGTTTGAACTAAGTTTTTGCTAGTCCCGACCACATATAGTAGGTTTTCTAGTAGTTATACTAGAAATTCCTACCAAAGTTCGTCCTACCCTTCACTCAATATACCCTGGGCGCCAACGGTCGGGCGCCGGCAGCGTAGGCACACAGAGAAAAAGTAGTGCTGTTTAAATGAGCGGAAACGGCGTGGATTTTGCGAATCATTTTTATTTAATGAAAAACCAAGGCCTTGTAGTGATGCTTATCAAGTATAACCAGTCAAAGGTCATCCCATTACCTCTAAGTCTATTATTTAAGTATATGTTTAAAAACCATTAGAAACCATTAGGGTACCAATTGGGAACTAATAGATCAGTGGCGGCGCCACGAATTTTCGCCAGTGGGGGCAAGCTTCAGGTGACCCGACTGTTGTCTGATAACCCGATCTGCAAAATCCATGAGCTCCTTGCCCCTAGATGTTGCCAATTAGAAATTATCATGGTTTCAGGTTTCATGCATACGTATTGAGCTTAAGCATTAACCCTCCCGGGCCCGGAACGGGGGGGGGGCGTTTTTCGCCTCCCCTGGCGAATATTTGCGATACCACATGAACGCTTAGGAGTAGACAGTAATCAGTGATCAGTACCTAGTTCTCTTTTTTACCGTAGTGCGAATATATGCGATTCTCTCACACACGATTGATACCAGAATAAGCTCTATTAGGGCGATCCATATACATTTCCAGATAACCCGGATATACATACCTACCTATCACATTTTGTCATACCTCCCTGAGCTCGGTCTCAGTCTAAGGGTTCCCAAAATAGAGTGAACTCTTGCCTGGCCGATTTTGACAAGTTGCCTCTCAACCTCCTCGGGGTCAAGCTCGATGGCAGCCTTCTGGTGAATGAAAATGAGTAGGAAAATGAGTGGGAGTAGGAGATATGCGACAGACGGTCTGAGAACGAACGTTCTGCTGATGCACTTGATACGGGAATCGTCAAAAACAGGCGTACTATTATAACCGCCTATCATGAATATTGCACCGGTCTTCTGTTCCCATTTCAACATCAGCCAAATTTTGTGGGGGCAAAAACATAGTCTTGCCCCCACGGCCTCCTGCCAGTGGGGGCAGTCTGCCCCCACTGCCCCCACGGTGGCGCCGCCCTTGTAATAGATACCCAGTCCGTATTCAAAACACACTTGAAACCATTAGAGACCATCAAGGTAGAAACACTTTTGAAGCATACTTGTCACACATCTGGAAACAGGGCTGCAAAGTGGTGGATTTATGACTCTAACTCCGACTCTGACTCAAAAATTGACTCCAGCTCTGCCGTCCAAAGGCAAAAACACATGTCGGGTCATGACCTGACCCGACATATGCGGTTTTGCCTTTGGACGGCAGAGCTCCGACTACGGTTCGGACTTTGCTTTTATTCATCTCATGGAATAAAAGTTATTGCCATATAAGTATGTTTTTCTTGCCTAAAACGACCCTTGAATGTTTTTCAAATGCATTTTTCATTTCGACACCAGTTGAAATAGAATGAGAGACACCATTTCAAAACAGATTTGCTTTTCCATTTGGGAACCATTTCGACACCAATTGGGATGAAATGGGACAACCATTTGGGATGAAATGGTTTTCTTCCATTTGGAGACCAATTGACACCAATTGGGATCAAATGGGAAAAACCATTTGAGATCAAATGGGAGTTTCAAATGGAAACCATTAGATACCAATTGGGATCAAATGGGACACACCATTTGGGATGAAATGGTTTATTCCATTTGGAACCAATTGGTATCAAATGGAAAGCACCATTTCAGACCAATTGGGAAGTTACCAATTGGAAACCATCTCGATACCATTTGGGGACATACTATTTGCCGTATCAAATGGAAAACACCAT